TTTTTTTTTTGTACTGGATTTGAGTTATTTATTCGTGGTGGTTTTGTGTACATATTTTGTGGTTCACTTTTTTTTATCGGTAATTGTGGTTGACTTTTTATATATAGTGTTTCGTGTATGCATGCATGCTAGATTATAATTTGACGAATGAATTGATATTAAAGTGATATTATTTCGTGTTCAAAACGTTAAATCAAAATTTATAAAAAAACCTTCATATTGAAGGATAAGAATAAAAATTCAGTCAAAATCGCGATCGCTGGTAAACGAGTTCGAGACCATCCAAGGGTCGAGCCCTAACTTAAGAAAAAAATAAAAAAATATAAATAAATAAATAAACACGAATTCTGAGAATCTGTGTAATAACTTAAAAAAAATAAATAAACAATAACACGGATTCTAAGAATCCCTGTTATAATATAAAACGAATTCTGAAAATCCGTGTTACGTAACACGGATTTTCATAAAACGTGTATGGTTGAATTAATTAGGGTTAATCACGTCATTAAAGAAAGACAGATTCTGAAAATCCGTCTTCTGCTCGTAATTAAGGAAAAACAGATTCTGAGAAACAGATTCTTAGAATCCGCTTTGATTTTTTTTTTCAGACACATTTTTTCTGATTTATTTTTGTCCACTTTTTTTAATTAAATAAATGATTCAAAAAAATTTGCATATAAAAATTGCATATAAAAAATTGCATATAAAAATTCCCGCACTTTCTCTCCACTCGATCACCTCGCACGGCTCGATCCAAGCCCGACGTCGGCGCTCGCGCCAGCCAAATGCAGACTCGCCGCCTCTGGAACGACGCCGTAACGTTCAACTGCATCGCGGGGTTCATAGTCATCGTCCTCAACAAGTTCCAGGACCAACTGGTCTTCTACATCACCCCCACCGATGCCCTGCAGAAGTACAATTCCGACCCGACCAAGTCCAAATTCCATTTAGGCGGCCTTGTTCTCGAGAACAACTATATACAGGTTCCTGATTCACAGGAATCCCAATTTGTAATTACCGATCTGATTACAGACATATTGGTCAAATACGATGGCAGCTTGTCGGATCTGTTTCGAGACTCGGCAGTGGTGGAGGGTTTATCGGGCCCGTGGATGATGGAGTTCGGAAAAAAAGAGAAAATTGACCTTAGTAGCAGCAGCAAATTTGGGGCAACTAAAAAGGCAATAGCGCCACTGTCGAGAAGGGCAAGTACAGCTACGAAGTCGAAACCCTAATCAACCATCTCTCCGGCCTCCCGCCACGAGGCAGCAGCTCGCGGCTGCACACATGTGATAATAGTTCACTTATTAAATGTGTTGAGAGAATCAACACAAATGCCCAACCTGTTGCTTTGGATTTAATTTAGTAAAAATGGCAATTTCAAATTTTGTATTGCAAAAATTGGTGAGGGGGTTTAATTTGTGGTTGTTAGTTGAAAGCTGTGCAATCTTTGATACTTATCATGGCTACAGGTTTTGTAAGATGTTGAAATCTATATTGTCGAAACAGAAACTTATGCCTATGCATGTTTTGTGATATATTTTGCTGCATTGGTGATATATTGTCTGCGTACAATTGACTCTCCAGACCCCAACCAGTTGAGAATATATTGGGTATGTGGATGATGTTATGATGGTGGTATCAATCTTTGTTTGCTTATTGATTCGACTTTATTTTCAAATGCAGCCAGACCCGGATCCAATTCCAACTTCTCTTTAATCTAATTAGGCTCATTTTATAACCTTGTGTGTTTAAACCTCTTTACTCCACTCTAATCGATTCGATGGAAGCATATTTAGTTGTCTTTTGAAAAAACACACTAATAAAAAAAAAAAAAAAACACTACTTCATCTCATTAAAACGATACCAGTTTTGACAGAAATAGTATCGCTTTTTCATCGGCATAGTTCATTTTTTTCATCTATTAGTACCTACTTTTGGTCAACGAAAATGGATTACTTCAATTTTTGTCAACATTTTAAAAAATAGGTACTTGACCTATAGTAAGATAGTACAAACATTAGAGTGTTTTAGTACCAGATATCGGGTCTTTAGTACCAACTCTGACGCACATAAAAAATACCGAATTTTCGGTTTAACATGATGTTTACATGACCAATAATCACTCTCACGTTAGTTTCTATGAGATTTATAATGTGTTTAATTAAGTTTAACTAAAACTAGTCACGACCTCAACACACACGTGAAAAAACACTACTAATATACTTCATCTTATTGAATGACACACTTCATATCATTGAATGGTCATACATGACTACTCCAAATCCTACCTATATGTTTTAACTTCTGCTATTTCTCAACCTAATCATGCGTCAACGATCCACTTGACATCAAGGACTAAAGAAATCGCGATTAGTAAAATGATACCTGTTTTGACAGAAATATTACTGCTTCTTCGTCGGCATAGTACCTGTTTTTAATCAGTTAGTAAATACTTTTGCTCAACCAAAATGAATTACTTCAATTTTGGTCAACATATAAACAAATGGGTACCAGACCTAGAGTAAGATAGCACCAACATTATGGTGTTTTAGTACTCAAATTATGTTTATATGACCCATTATCACTCTCACATTAGTTTCTATGAGATTTAAAATGTGTTTAATTAATTTTAGTCGTAAATTGGTCACGAACTCAACACACTAAAGAAAAACACTACTAATACACTTCATCTCATTAAAAGACACACTTCATCTCATTGAATGATCATACATGACTACTCCAAATTCTACCCATATGTTTTAACTTTCACTATTTATCAATCAAATCACGCGTCAACGGTCCACGTGACATGGTAGACATGGAGGATTAAAGAAATCACGATAACTATAACTTTACCAGTTTTGACAGAAATAATACTGTTTCTTGTTCTGCGTAGTACCTGTTTTTAATCAATTAGTACCAACTTTTGGTCAGCGAAAATGGATTACTTCAATTTTTGTCACCATTTGCAAAAATTGGTACCAGAACTAGAGTAAGATAATACCAGCTTTTGGAGTTTCAGTATCTAGATATCGGGTCTTTAGTACCAACTCAGACGAACAAAAAATAGTACCAAATTTTGTTCTCAAATGATATATATATGACCCATTAACACTCTCATATTAGTTTCTATGAGACTTAAAATGTGTTTAATTAAGTTTAATTGCAAATTGGTCACGAATGAAAAAAACACTACTAATACATTTCATTTCATTAAAAAACACTACTAATACACATATGATCATATTGAATGATCATACGTGACTACTCCAAATTCTAATTATATGTTTTAACTTCTACTATTTCTCAACCAAATTACGACGGAAATATTCCCCCATGGCACATCCAGAATATGGGGACAAAAATTGCAGAGGAGCAGGATCCCGTGAACGATCCACGTGACATGATAGACATGGAGGATTGAAGAAATTACGATTACTAAACTGGTATCAGTTTTGACAGAAATAGTACCGCTTCTTCTTCTGTGTAGTACCTGTTTTTAATCAATTAGTACCTATTTTTTGTCAGCAAAAATGGATTACTTCAGTTTTGGTCAACATTTGAAAAGTTGGTACCAGACCTATAGTACGAAAGTACCAGCTTTTGGTGTTTTAGTATCAGATATGGGGTCTTTAGTACCAACTCCGACGAACATAAAAAACACCAAATTTCGGTCTTAAATGATGTTTATATGACCCATTATCACTCTCATATTAGTTTTTATGAGATTTATAATGTGTTTAATTAAGTTTAATCGCAAGTTGGTCATGAACTCAAAACACAAATGAAAAAACACTACTAATACATTTCATTTCATTAAAAGACACACTTCATCTCATTGAATGATCATACATGACTACTCCAAAATTTTAATTATATATTTTAACTTCCACTATTTCTCGACCAAGTCACGCGTGAACGATTAACGTGGCGTGGTAGATTAAAAAAAATCACAATTACTAATATTGTACCAGTTTTGACAGAAATAGTACCGCTTATTCTTCTACATAGTACCTATTTTTAATCAATTAGTACCTACTTTTGGTCAGCGAAAATGGATTACTTCAGTTTTGGTCAACATTTCCAAAATTTGGTACCAGACCTAGAGTAAGATAGTACCAGCTTTTGGTGTTTTAGTACAAGATATCAGGTCTTTAGTACCAACTCCGACGAACATAAAAAAACACCGAATTTTGGTCTCAAATGATGTTTATAAGACTCATTATCACTCTAACATTAGTTTCTATGATATTTAAAATGTGTTTAATTAAGTTTAATCGTAAATTTGTCACGAATTCAACACTCTAATGAAAAACACTATAAATGTACACTTCATCTCATTAAAATAAATACTATATCTCATTGAATGATCATACATGACTACTCCAAATCTTATTTACATGTTTAAATTCCACTATTTATCAACCAAATCACGCGTGAACGATGCACGTGGCATGGGGAAAAAATTTCATTGTAGGGCCTGACTTTTTGTTATTGTGTCACAATAAGGCCTAAATTTTTAACTTTTTCATTTGAAAATTTCAATTTTAAGTTATTCTCAATATATGTGACCTACTTTTACATTTTACTTTTCAGTTTAAGGTTCCATATCAATTTGTACTAGTATTCGGCCCTGTGCATTTGCACAGATGTAAATAAAGTATTGTGAGTTATTTGTATGCATATAATGATTAATTATTTTTCTTTGACATTTTTTCTGGCAAAATTTACAATTAAAAGAGTTGGAATATTTATTTTTTTAAAATTGCGTTTATCTAATTGGATGTAATGTATATTTTGGTACGTCTTTTTTTGTGAATAATTTATTATTTAGGAATTTCAAATACGTTTTTTATTTTTTAAAAAAATAATAATTTAAATGTAACCACAATAATAATATTTAATCACATTATACGTCAACACATTATATGGTCAACTGTCAGTAATCAAAAGTTTAAAATGATTTTTGTAATTTTGAAGTGATTAGTATTGATTATTTAATAATTAATGAAGGATTAAATACATCAAAAGTAACGGTTTTGGGAGGGAAAAATGTTAAATTGCCACATAGGTAAAATTAAATAGGTTTTATTAAATGCTATTAGCTAGTAATTATATATATATAGATTTTGATATAAATATTTAGACAACAATACTTTTTTTAAAATTTATTTCTTAAGTACTTATAATTAAAATATTAAATATCTTTAGTAAAATTATCAAATAAGATAATTGTTTCATAATTTACATTTATGCAAAAACATAATAAAATTTATTTAAAAGTTAAAAAATAAATATTAACTTAATTTTAACCTAACTATGTGATAACATTAACATATAAACTACTTAGAAAAATAGTTTTATTTTTTTAATTAAAGCTTTAGAAAATATTTTATGTGCATAAAACTACCAACAACATAATTTTTCGTGTATAATTATATATATTCTTAACTTTTTCAAAAATATAAATTTTATTCACTAACAATATTTTCTAAAATTTTAATTTGAAAAATAAATCTATTTTTCTAAATATTTTATATTTTAAGGTTATTACATAGTTATATTAAAATTAAATGAAAATTTATTTTTTATCTTTCAAAATAAATATTTTAAATTTTAACTTTTAACTTTCAAAAATTTTAACTTTATAACTTTCAACAAATAAATATTTAAAATTTTAGTCCTTAGCGCACGAGATATCACAATAAATAATATAATCTCGCTTTAACGTCATTTATATTGAAATTATATTTCTTTTAATTCGTCGCGTTTTGCCTCTTATACTACGCAACGTAAGTAGAAATTCGTGTTGCCTAAGCTATTAGAGTATAAAATTTTGTTTGTTAGAAATATCATATATTAGTATATAATAAAATTAGGTTGTTAATTTTAAAAAATATAGTAATATTATATGGCACTAAATTTTATAGTAAAATAATATTGAGTATTATGATTAATAAAATGAGGGTAGTTTCATTTTGGCATGAAATGTCCAAATTTAAATTAATGTGAATTTCATTTGGTATGGATAGAATTGTATTTAATTTTGAAAATAAAATAAGGGGTATGATATTATTTTATATGGGTATGAAAGTCGAATTTTAGGTTGATTTATTATAAAATCAAGGTGATATAATTCTCAATTTTTAGCATATTCCTATAATAACTTGTCATAAGATAATTCATACACTATTTTAGGCATATTCTTACATATACATGTTCGGTTTTAGGC